TAGGTTTTTAAAAAATTATGGTGAAAGGTTGCTACCATACCATTATTCCCAAATCTATAAATGCAGCAAAGTGGAGGTATAACATTTCCTCAAACTGTTTAACTAATCATAAACACAATGAGACCTTCTGTCTACCTAGAATTCCTAATTAGTTAAAAATTAGAAAGGAAGCAATTTAATTCCCTCCTAATCACAATGTAATCACCTACTTGGAATTAAAAGGAGTACTTTCCATTGTGCCTTTGGGGGACTGAATATAAAAAGGATGAATTAGTGATTGAACTTATACCCTTCAGAGGAACTTTCAAATTCCAACTAGCTCTGTGGAGCCACAGAGACCTTTTTTTACCCAGGCAATAATCCAGTTTGTAAATTAGCATTATCCAAACCAGACTGGGTCAACATGGTTGCCCTCTAGTTATTTATTTATTTAACCACTGGGTTTGGTACAACATAGGACCTGAATTTACACCCTGCACATGCAAACTGTAAAATAAAAACGAGCAGGAATAAATGGATGGTGTTTAAAGTCAGCCTCCTGTGACTGAAGGAAATCAGTCACTCATACAGGATTTTGTGTCCACCTGATCCTGATAGTTGAGTCCACCTCTGTGCTTTAGAAGTCGATAAAAAACACCTGAGGTACATTCCATCATTATGCCTGGGGTGAGATATTATTTTTCAGGCTTTCATTATTTGAAGCCTTGTAAGTATCTTCAGGGGGGGAAATCAACTGGAGGTCGTCAACCCCAGTTTGCCCAAATTAAGCTGGTTCTTTCTTATTTCCCTTAGGTGGCTCAAATTTTTATTTTAACAGATACATGGTAGGTAATGTGATACCTTTTTCTTGGGCCGGATTTCTGCAGGTTAGAGAATGAAAGCTGTTGCTAATCATTTGGATAGGGAAGACGGGCAGAACGCTGGCCTTGTGTCTTACGCAGTTGGGTTGGCTGCACTCGGATGGAATCTGATATCTTATGCATATTCTGGTGCCCAGAAAATTTAAAGTTTCATTATGAGCATAGGCTTTGAATTCTCTGGGGATTTGAATGCTGCATCCCAGATAATTTTTCTCTGGTGGAAGAACAGAAAGAAGAATGATCCTCTCTCCATCTCCACACAGAGGGTAGGAAATAGGGGGGGGATTCCCCCCCAAATGTTTAAAGAGCCTTACATACAGTGGTACCTCGGGTTACAAACACCTCAGGTTACAAACACTTCGGGTTACAGACTCTGCTAACCCGGAAATAGAACCTCGGGTTAAGAACTTTACCTCAGGATGAGAACAGAAATCGCAAGGCCCCATTAGCTAAAGTGGTACCTCAGGTTAAGAATGGTTTCAGGTTAAGAACAGACTTCTGGAACGAATTAAGTTCGTAACCAGAGGTGCCACTGTACGTACCTCTATGAAACTATCCCCACTAACTAGGCTAAATGGGACAATATTATGACATGTTGTTGACATCCGTCTGTCTTGAGACAGTGGGGTTTTCTTACAGAGATGGTCAGTTTCGACACGAGTCAAAGTCAGTAGTTTCCTCTACAGCTGGATCCTGGAAAATATTAGTGTGCTTTACAAACTGTCTAGAATATATTTTGAAGCAATAGAAAAACCTGCAAAGCGTGTTAATAAAAAACCATAGAAAAATGAGCAAGCCTGTTAATTAGATGTGGAAGTAGAATGTGGGCACACCACATAAATAGGCTTTTTGGTTATAATTCAGCTCTGAGGCTGTGCACATTGTGACACTTTTGCTGCCTTGAAAGAAACCATACTTCTGAGCTGAGCTGAGCTGAGCTCTTTAAATAAAAGAGCAGTTGTACAGGGGGTTTGGACTGGGTGTCCATCAATATGCAGATGATACCCAGCTCTTTGTTGCCATATTTTCTCTTCTAATGCAATAGCTCGTGAGATTACAATCGATAAATCCTTACACTCAGCAGTTATGCAGTATGTACACAACTGTGTGCGAGGATCTGTGTACATTCAACGAGTTAAGTTTAAAATAAGTACTTTAGTTTTAAAAGTTTAACAAATCCTGGAGTAGATGTGAGCCTGTATTTTTTACTTTCTCTTCTTGCATCACAGTAACATTTCTTTCCCCCATCTTGCCCCCAAAACTGAAACCCTTCAGATGAGATCCACTAGACGTTTTGTATCATAACTAAGTACAATTCATTGGTGGTCTTTCGGTGGTGATGGTAGGATTGGCTTCAGTGTGTGTGTGTGGTCCTTACTATTTCTGGCATTGTTTGTTCTAACAACAAACTGGACACATAAATCAGCTTCTCCCCCTGCATGCCTTTATTGGTCTGACAACAGTTAGAATTTAGGTTACTGTGTAAACATGTGTAATATATAGTGGTATGTTGTTTTCCCTCCCTGCCCATGTTCTCTGCATCTTGGTCACAAGTAGCGTGACAGAACTTCCTCAAATATTGCTGCAATATCTTTGCAGCAACGACCCAGTGCAAGACTGGCCAATGTGACGCTTTTAAATGAATGTGGTCTTGATCGGCACTCTATGTTTATTACATTTTTAATTATTGTTATTATCCTGTCCTTTAAAAAAAAAAAAAATCCCGAGGGCAGTTTCACAAACACAAACAAAGCACAATCACTTTCTTATACAGTCGTACCTTGGTTCTCAAACGCCTTGTGACGCTTTGGCTCCCAAATGCCACAAACCCGGAAGTGAGTGTTCCGGTTTGCGGACTTTTTTGGAAGCCGAACGTCCAACGCGGCTTCCGATCAAGTGCAGGAAGCTCCCGAAGCCAATCGGAAGCCACGCCTTGGTTTTCAAACATTTTCAGAAGACGAATGAACTTTCCGAACGGATTCCGTTTGAGAACCAAGATACGACTGTACAGTGGAACACAGTGTGAGGTCTTAATATCCGGCATAAAATGTGGTGTCGATAAGCTCTGCTTTACTTTTAAAAACAAAGGGTTGCATGCATTGTTAGTCACACTAACATGGAGGCATGTTTGAAATTAATGGGCACAGTTAACTTAGTTCCATGAATTTCAAGGGGGTCTACTCTGAGTAGGACTTAGTTGGATACAACCTTAATCAAAGTTATAACCTGTTGCTTCTTTATTTACTGTACCTGTATCCCACTTTTCCTCTTAGTGACTTATGTGGTGGACTTCTTTGTGGTAGTTTATATCAGGGCTTTCTAATGGTTCCAGAATGGGACAGTCTTCGCTTCTGGGATGTGGTATGGGCTCATGGGCAGAAGACAACACCTCTAAGAAGAAGAAGAAGAAGAAGAAGAAGAAGAGTTTGGATTTGATATCCCACCTTTCACTCCCCTTCAGGAGTCTCAAAGCGGCTCACAATCTCCTTTCCCTTCCTCCCCCACAACAAACACTCTGTGAGGTGAGTGGGGCTGAGAGACTTCAAAGAAGTGTGACTGGCCCAAGGTCACCCAGCAGCTGCATGTGGAGGAGCGGGGAATTGAACCCGGTTCCCCAGATTACAAGACTACCGCTCTTAACCACTACACCACACTGGCTCTCTAAGGTGAGTGCCATTGCCATTCTGAGAGAACAAGGGAGGTGTTCATGGTGAATTCTGGCCTGGGTGCTGTATATCAGGGGCGGCCAACTCCCAAGAGACTGCGATCTATCATTATTTCATTAATGTAATGAAAGAAGATACTGATGTTATAAATATGAAATTGGGAACTGCTAAATATGTAATATGATGAAATCCAGATTGAAGGGTGTCGAGGAAGTCTTTTAGCAATGTAACTACACCATGGAATAAGAAGAAAAAATTCTTCTTTTATTTTATGTGTTTTTATTGTTGTTAAGTTTTTATGTTGTGTCAAATGTAATGTTTTTCTTTTGTGTTTTTGTCTATGTGTTAGAAGAGAAAACTAATTTTTTTTGGGAGGGAGAGAGACTGCGATCTACTTACAGAATTAAAAACTGGCAGTGATCTACCAAAACCTCCTGGAGATCTACCAGTAGATCGCGATCGACCTGTTGGACATCCCTGCTGTATATAAAGAAATGGACAGGATGCAGTTCTAACCAGAGGGATTGTGTTCTGTGTTGAACAGTAATAGCTACATCTCATGGCCCCATTCCTCATCCCCTGCTGCTTCTCACTGTGGTTAGTTCATTCCTCTTCTTTCTTTCTTTCTCCTGAAGCTACAGCATATCTCGTCTAATCATTCTAAATTATACAATAAGCCAGGCATTGGGTTCAGAATCAAGTACAGTGGTACCTCGGGTTAAGTACTTAATTTGTTCCGGAGGTCCGTTCTTAACCTGAAACTGTTCTTAACCTGAAGCACCACTTTAGCTAATGGGGCCTCCTGCTGCTGCTGTGCCGCCGGAGCACGATTTCTGTTCTCATCCTGAAACAAAGTTCTTAACCTGAAGCACAATTTTTGGGTTAGCGGAGTCTGTAACCTGAAGTGTATGTAATTTGAAGCGTATGTAACCCGAGGTACCACTGTATACAAACTAAACTAGTTTTACATACGAGCAATGCATGTGTCCCTATTTGACTTGCATCTTTTCCTCGCTGTAGAATTTATTTTATAGAGCTGCAGTGGCCCCATAACGAAATAACACAAAAGCGGGGGGGGGGGGGCAGGGGAAGGCCCTTTTCCTAAACATCTTCCCAATTTAGATTTTGACAGCATACCGAGCAAAGAGAGAAGGGAGGAATGAGAGAGGAGCAAATGCAATTGAACAAAAGCGAGCTTACGTAGAGCTGAATTTGATTAGCTAGGATAATGGGCTTTTCCACTGAAGTCCTCCCTGCCCTGCCCACAGTGTATTAAAAACTCTTTTTTTCCTTCCAGAGGGGATATGTTTCCCCACCCGCTTTGGGGCATTTCCAGGTGGCTGTTTATTGTGAGATGCATGCAAGAAAAGAAAAGAAAAGAAAAGGGCAGCAGTCACACAAATTTTAGGCATGAAAACCCCTGCCCATATCCTCCCCATTTAATGTGTATTTACCATTTCTCTCATATATATACATATACATATACATATACATATACATACACACACACATATATATATATATATGTGTGTGTGTGTGTGTGTGTATATATATGTGTGTGTGTGTGTATATATGTATATATATGTATATATATGTATATATATGTATATATGTATATCTGTATATATGTATATATGTATATATATGTATATATATATGTGTGTGTGTGTGTGTATGTGTGTGTATACAGTGGTAAGGTAAAGGTAAAGGTAAAGGGACCCCTGACCATTAGGTCCAGTCGTGACCGACTCTGGGGTTGTGGCGCTCATCTCGCTTTATTGGCCGAGGAAGCTGGTGAACAGCTTCTGAGTCATGTGGCCAGCATGACTAAGCCGCTTCTGGCGAACCAGAGCAGCGCATGGAAACGTCGTTTACCTTCCTGCCGGAGTGGTACCTATTTATCTACTTGCACTTTGACGTGCTTTCGAACTGCTAGGTTGGCAGGAGGTACCATACAGTGGTACCTCGGGTTAAGAACTTAATTCGTTCCGGAGGTCCGTTCTTAACCTGAAACTGTTCTTAACCCGAAGCACCATTTTAGCTAATGGGGCCTCCCACCTCTGCCACACGATTTCTGTTCTCATCCTGAAGCAAAGTTCTTAACCCGAGGTACTATTTCTGGGTTAGCGGAGTCTGTAACCTGAAGCATATTTAACCTGAAGCGTATGTAACCCGAGGTACCACTGTGTGTGTGTGTGTGTATCTATATATATATAATCTGAGTGACCCTTTGCAATAATAAGCCCCCATGTAGAATCCCCCTTTGTTTCCCATCCTGTGGAGGTTGGTTCTGTACATTTTATTTATGGGCATGTGGGGGAAGGTAATCTATGTCATTCAACTAAGTTAAATAAACAACACTGATTTAAAAAGGAGTTCTAAGAGTTAGCGTTGCAGTGCAGTTCCTCCCCATGGCTCTTGCATCAGTGAAGAAGGGTTAAACTGAGAAATTTGAAACTCTTCATATACCAGGGGTCAGCAAACTTTTTCAGCAGGGGGCCGGTACACTGTCCCTCAGACCTTGTGGGGGGCCGGACTATATTTTGGAGGGGGGAAATGAACGAATTTCTATGCCCCACAAATAACCCAGAGATGCATTTTAAATAAAAGGACGCATTCTACTCATGTAAAAACACGCTGATTCCCGGATCGTCCATGGGCTCCTCTTCAAAAACAGCTTCTTGATAGCTCAGTTGGAGCGTGGTGCTGATAACACCAAGGTTGCAGGTTCGATTCCCGTTTGGGATAGCTGCATATCCCTGCATTGTAGGGGGTTGGACTAGATGGACTCAAGGTCCCTTCCAACTCTACAATTCTATGATTCTAAAAGCTCCAAGTGTCCCTATTTTCCACTGGTGTCCTTGATTTAGAGAAGCCATCCCAGTTTCTGATTTGATCCCAGAATGTCCCACTAGGTGACGTCCATATTTTCCTTGGAGAAATGTTGGAAGATATGGAACTATCTGACCCCTGAAGGCAATCCTGTAAAGGGATTAAAAAAAAAAAAGTTTGATGTTTTATTATGGTTCTATATATGTTGAAAGCTGCTCAGAGTGGCTGGGGTAACCCAGTAAGGTGTGTGTAGGTATAGGTAAAGGGACCCCTGACCATTAGGTCCAGTCGTGGCCGACTCTGGGGTTGTGGCGCTCATTTTGCTTTATTGGCCGAGGGAGCCGGCATACAGCTTCCAGGTCATGTGGCCAGCATGACTAAGCCGCTTCTGGCGAACCAGAGCAAAGCACGGAAACACCCTTTACCTTCCCGCTGGAGCTGTACCTATTTATCTACTTGCACTTTGACGTGCTTTTGAACTGCTAGGTTGGCAGGAGCAGGGACCGAGCAGTGGGAGCTCACGTCGTCACCGGGATTCGAACCACTGACCTTCTGACCAATTTAAAACAAAAAAATCTGATTTAAATAAAAAAATCCATTTTTTAATATAAATGAAATCATTGATTTTTATCCACCCTGAAACTGAGCAACTAGGAAGCCTACCCTTGCTTCCTGAAGACCACGACTGCCTTCATATTTCCTCTCTCTTTTTTCCTCACCCCATCCTCAATTTCAAAGAGGCAGAGTCTGAGAGTCAAGTTTCTCGAGCTGTGAGCAACCGCAGTGCGATGGCTCGGTGTGTTCTGTCATCGTTGCTGCTTTAGCCTTTAGCTGGTAGCTTGGAACAAATTTTCAAATGATGGACAGAGAGGCATTAAAAAGAGGATTTCACGCTGCCCTGTTCCTTTCTTACAAGACAGCATGGGGGCGTGCTTCATAGTCCTGCCCTCCAAGTTACATGATACACCGTCATGCTGGGACAACATCCTCACACAGTGAGGGATTCCCTTCTCTGCGCGGCGGCAAGGAAAACAATTCTGCTTTCCTTAATCCATACTCTGCTGCAGGGGACATCTTACCCATAGAGGCTAGTGGCGCTGGGTGCCAGGGTGCCAAGTTCTGGAGGGCGCCAGGGAAGAGGCAGAGGCTGGAAGCGGTGCCTCCCAGCACCAGTTCGCTGCCCTTGCCCGCCTCTGCCATGCCATGCCGAAGCAGCGCCACGCCCAGAACCTCAGTCTGCCATGGCCACAGTGGCACGAAGCGGCCAGAAGGCGCTGCATCCAGTCTCCGCCTCTTCCCCGCCGGAGGAGCCACCCTCCAGCCGTTGCCCACCTCCTCCAGCCCTTACGATGGCCCTGCTGTGCTGCCTATTGAACAACGTTTGTCTGCTTAGCTTTTGCACTGTTCCGTTTGCTGCTTTTGTACACGACAGAAGGTGACAGTACACCTTGCTCAGGGCCATCAGTGAAAATAGTGGGGGGCTCTGTGGTCTAAACCACTGAGCCTCTTGGGCTTGCCGATCGGAAGGTCGGCGGTTCAAATCCCCGCGATGGAATGAGCTCCTGTTGCTCTCCCCAGCTCCTGCCAACCTAGCAGTTTGAAAGCACACCAGTGCAAGTAGATAAATAGGTACCACTGTGGTGGGAAAGTAAACAGCGTTTCTGTGCACTCTGGTTTCCGTTACGGTGTCCCGTTGCACCAGAAGCGGTTTAGTCATGCTGGCCACATGACTCGGAAAGCTGTCTGTGGACAAATACTGGCTCCCTCAGCCTGAAAGCAAAATGAGCACCGCAACCCCATAGTCGCCTTTGACTGGACGTAACCTTCCAGGGGTCCTTTACCTTTACCTCCACTTTCCCTCTGTAAAGCCCACATTGGCTTACCCTGAAGACGGTCTGTGTAAGACTACAGTGTAAAGGCCAAAGTGATGTGTTTGAGCAAGGAAAACCAGACGTGCCAGCAAATTTAACGCAGATATAAAAGGTATTTGGGGGGGGGGGGAGTAAGAGTGTCACAATCAAATCTGGATAAGATAAGGAAATGGACCAGGTTTTACCTGCTTTAACAAAAACAAGGGAGTAATTTTTGAAATATCAGGTCCTGAAACATTGAACTCAGCTGTAAAATAAAAAGCATTTCATATGAATTTTATTTGCATTATAACACTGTGACACCAGGTGGCGCTGCGGAGCTCCGTTTTTGCCAACACGATTTCTCATACACAGTTTACAACGCGTTTTCCCGAAACACTTTTTTGCTGTGTCTGGATCCACCAATGTCTTCATCCTGCATTCCTATCTTTTAAAGTGATTGGCTGCTTTCAGAACTGAACACTTAGATATCTGTGTTTATTAACAGGCTAGATTTCACTGCATTAGCGTTTAAAGAGCCATCGCTTGTTTATGAAACCATTCATGAAATGAAGCCTCCCTTCCAAAAGCCACATGCAGCTGTGGCAGAAAGTCGTTGTTCAGCATTTTTCTTATTTAATTGATATGAACATAACTATGGGGAGGGTGGAAGCAAAAAGCTGCTCTGTCAGCACATCAGTGAAGGAGGAATTTTGTTAATTTAAATGACTTTTGAGGGGTCGGGGACATCAGCAAAGCTAATGAGGCAATTCTGGCAGAGCTGTGTCCTTGCGTTTTCTTTTCACACTGGAAGTTGCCTCCCAGATGTTGGCTGAGCTCCTGAGAAATCATGGAAGAGTCACAAATATGTTCCTTGCTGAATGGGACACATAATTCTCGGAATTTTGCACTTCATGTTTGAACCTACCCTTTGGAGCTCTCTGTTGTTGCAAGTAGTCTTAAAATACTAGAATTGTAGAGTCACCTAGTCCAACCCCCAGCAGTGCAGGATTCTCAACTAAAGCATCCATGACAGATGGCCAGCCAACCTCTGTATAGAAAGACTTAACAGCGTTAGTATGGCATAAGGCTTCCTGGGCTTTTGCCCAGTTTATCAGATGCATAAAATGTTATCCTGCGTTACAAGTGCATATGTACACCCGGGGGGTGGGGTGCATTTTAAAACAGAGAGGTCAAAATAAAATGGCTTAAGGACAGTTGCAGAGTGTTCAGGAAGGTCAGAAATGGCAATAGTGAAAAGCCAGTGGGGGGACATTTCAGCCTCCAAAGACTCTCTGGGAGGTCAAAAAAAGGATACAACATGAAACAGCTGAACTACAATACATCAAGAGGTTCAGTTCTGTCACTGAAGTTGGCCTGTCTTTTGGCAAAAGGTTTAGGCACTGCTAGACAGTAGGGACGTGGGTGGTGCTGTGGTCCAAACCACTGAGCCTAGGGCTTGCCGATCGGAAGGTTAGCAGTTCAAATCCCTGCAACGGGTGAGCTCCCATTGCTCGGTCCCAGCTCCTGCCAACCCAGCAGTTCGAAAGCACGCCAGTGCAAGTAGATAAATAGGTACCACTCCGGCGGGAAGGTAAATGGCATTTCCGTGTGCTGCTCTGGTTCGCCAGAAGTGGCTTAGTCATGCTGGCCACGTGACCTGGAAGCTGTACGCTGGCTCCCTCGGCCAGTAAAGTGAGATGAGCGCCACAACCCCAGAGTCGTTCGTGACTGGACTTAACTGTCAGGGGTCCTTTACCTTTACCTTTACCTTTAGAGAGTAACTCAATGGGGATTTAGTGAAACTCATGGGTTTTCCTGTTTTCCTGGTAGAAAACAAAAGTCCTATAAAACTGACAGAGTAGAGATGAAATTCATCAGCAGAGCATTTCAAACTTAGGGGGCTGAAACTGAAAAGACCCTGCTGTAAGCTGCAGGCACAGCAGGATCTCACTATACAAATTTGCACGTGACATCAAACCGTAGTTTAAAACAAACATTGATTTCGCTGGTTCATGGTGGTGAATAGTCTTTGCTCCATTCTTGCACCACTTGCTTTTGGGAAACAAACCGGAATCTGGCTTGTCGTGATTTCCAAACCTGGGTTCATGGCTTGTTTCTCTCCAAACAAAGTATGAATGGTAACCAAGGTTTGGACATCACAACACAGCATACTCCTGACTTGCTTCCTGGCAGTGCAGCATAAGAGGGGAAGCAAGGGAACGAGAAGTATTCAGTAGCATGCACCAGTGTGCTGATCATGTGTATGAAACCTTTGTTGTTGACTGGCTTAATGTGATGTGTGTCCTGGCCCATTGAAGGGTACCAGGAGTCACAAACTAGAGAAGGTGCCTAAATGTACACGGCCCAACATACCCGACAAGGGGGCAAGCATCCTAGCAAATGGAAGTGGCGTATTTGCTTACCGATTTTAGCATTCCTTACAGATGACATTGACGGTGCATTATTGTTTCCCCATGCGATGATGTGTACTGTGTTGCACAACTATCTCCGGCACATCTGCATAAACAATGTGTGGAAGGAAGTTGGAGTTTGCATTTGAAGGTGACACAGCCCTGTAGCATCCTGGTTACGGTGTTTGATGCATGATGAAACAGACGTTCGAAAAGCTATACGTTTTATGTTTTGCAAAATTTAAATAGGACACGTATCCTTTAAAACTGAACAGTTGGAAGGGGGCATTTGAAAACATCTGAGCTAAAAGGACTGTAGTAGCAGTTTGGCTGCTGAACGAACCTAGGGCAAAACATTTCCTTTCATGAAGCAAAATAAGTTAGGGGTTGGGGAGGTAGTTTGTACATGCAGTCTGTTGGATTGAAATTTTGATAAATAATAATAATAATAATAATAAATTTTATTTATATCCCGCCCTCCCCAGCCGAAGCCGGGCTCAGGGCGGCTAACAACAGTAAAACAATACAAAAGTACAGCATAAACAACACTCTAAAATCATTCATTATAAAATTAATTAATTCAAGCCACTGGCAACCATTGGGCCAGAGCTCCGCGAAGATTGCCGAGGGAGGGAGTCAGGCTGTGCCCTGGCCAAAGGCCTGGTGGAACAGCTCTGTCTTGCAGGCCCTGCGGAAAGATGTCAAGATGTCAAATAGTGAGTTAGTTTTATGTAAATAAAAGAGCTGTCCTTATCCCGGTGTTCTCCCTGACCATTGGGCTATGCTGGCTAAGGTTTATGAGAGTTTGAGTCTGAAATATCTGGGGGTCACCAAACAGAGCAAGGCAGATCTAACATAATAATATATAGGGAGGGTGTACAGACCACAGTTCAACAGAGGTGGAACGTTTAAGAGTTTGATTACTGTATAGATTGTTTCATTTGTAGAAAAGCCTGATACTTGCCTGAAGTTTTGCAAACAGCCTGTAGACTAGTGTGGTTCCTCTTCTTTGTGCATTCAAGTATATTTAATAGCAAGAATGTATGAAGCTGACTGATGCAGAGGCAGGTGACTGCATTTCCTCCAAGTGTCCTGATTTCCCAGGGACAGTCCCAGAATTATGAAAGCCATCCCAGCTTCCGATTCAATCTCAGAGTATCCCTATTTCCCCTGCCAGTGCTGCTGCCACTGAGCTCGGGGAGGAGGATGAGCCGGCGCTTGTCCCAAACGACTGTGGCGGCAGCAGTGACAGCTGCGAGGGAGCATACCACTGGGCAGTTCATAGCAGCTGCTGGAGGGCAGGACAGGAGGAGGAGAGGCTGCTGAGTCCCAGCTCTGCATGATGCGCTGGCTCAAGAAGTATTGATTATTATTATTATTTATTATTTATACTCCGCCCATCTGGCTGGGTTTCCCCAGCCACTCTGGGCAGCTTCCAACAAAATATTAAGATACAATAGTCCTCCAGATATTAAAAGCTTCCCTAAACAGGGACCCACATCTGATCTTGCCCCTTTCTAAAATTTGTTTACAGCGGTACCTCTGGATGCGAACGGGATCCGTTCCGGAGCCCCGTTCACATCCCAAATGGAACATAAGACGCGACAGTGCATCTGCGCATGCGCAGGTCGCGTTTTGCTGCTTCCGCGCATGCGCGTGACATCATTTTGAGCGTCTGTGCATGCACGAGCAGTGAAACCTGGAAGTAACGCGCTCCGTTACTTCCGGGTTGCTGTGGAGTGCAACCCGAACGCGCTCAATTTGAAGCACATTCAACCCGAGGTATGACTGTATTGGCATGGGTGTTTTCCTTTTGGGAATCTACCAAATAATAAAATTTCAAAAATCGAGATTGAGGGGTTTTCTCAGGGCGATGGAGGGCGTGTGTGCTGTTGGTGAAATGGTGGCGGCCCTCACCCTTCTTCTGATAGTAAATGGTCAGTGGGGTGGGGACAACAAGGGGGGGTCAAGGAAGGTCAGTTGAGGAGGGGAGTGAGAAATGTTCCTATTTTTGTATGAGGAATGTTGGAGGGCATGGGACTGGTCTAGCTAACCTAGTGTTGCCTAGGAATAGCCATGGTTGTTGTTGGACTACAATTCCCATCATCCCTGCCCAATGGCCATGCGGACTGGATCTGAAGAGAGTCGCAGTCCAATGTGTGGAAGGCACCATGTTGGCTACCTCTGGTGTAGTCTTGGCAGGCTGCACCTCTCAGATCTCACACAGATGCCTCTCTCACCCAATTCAGTTCCCTGAGATTCTTTAACTCGGATTCAATTTGGGAACTTCTGCCTGCAGAGCATAAAAGCAGTTGTACCTTGGTTGTCGAAGGGCTTGGCTCTCGAACAAATCACCTCCTGAACGCCGCAAACCCGGAAGTGAGTGTTCTGATTTGCGAATGTTTTCCGGAAGCTGAACATCCAACGCGGCTTCTGCGGCTTCCGATTGAGTGCCAGAAGCTCCTGCAGCCAATTGGAAGCCTCGTCTTGGTTTTCGAACTGTTCCGGGAGTCGAACGGACTCCTGGAACGGACTAAGTTTGACAACCAAGGTACCACTGTACTCTGCTGTTGACCTTCAGCCCTTATTCCCCTTTCCTTCCCAAAGACTACATGAAGAACCATAGAACTGTAGAGTTGGAAGGGGCCCTGTGGATCATCTGATCCCAGCAATCCAGGAATATACAGCTGTCCATTACGGGGATCGATCCTGCAACCTAGGCGTTATCAGCACCAAGCTCTAAGCAACTGAGCTATGTTCAAGTACTGTATGGCTGTTTCTGAAAACAGCAGACTCACGTTATCGTTTTCTTTTTTCTTCCAGCAACATCTCATTATCTGTTATCCACATTGTGCTGATAAGAGCCTATGTGTGGGTTTTGTATACAAAGGCTTCAGTTTGCTTTTGTTGTGCAGGTTTTGTTTTTCATTGCTGAGAAAAGGAATCTACATTATTTTTCCAGCTAAGAGTGTTGGAACAGAGACGACATGACAGAATAAGACAGTGTTTTCACTGCTTTACTTTCCCTGATTCACCATACAGGGTTAATCCCTGATGGAAAACAGTTGAGTGATTATAGATGATGAAGCACAAAGAGTAGTTTAACCAGCGGGATTTTGCAGGCATGAGAGAGTAATAAGAGAGTGTGCCGCACACTGCCGTCTATTGACATTCTGTGCCAGAAATAATAATTGTTTCAAATTGCACACTGTGGCTGACAAAACTTTATCTCTTTCCAGAAAGACAACATATATATTAATGTTTTTGAAGTTGGGATGAATGCTTTAATTGACTCATTTTAATTCCCGGAGGCGAATCTTTTGGAATCCTTTGTGTATGATGTACGGTCGCGTATATTAAGAAAAATTGCAGGCTTTATCATTCAATATTTGAATTTGAAAGTTAGTTTTGGCAAACTTCGCTTCCTATATTAATTCCATAGATGTAAAATAATAATAATAAAAAGAATTTGTTTCATATGGTGGCTGCTGGTTCCGTCACCTAACGTCTCGGTACTGCTGTTCCCTCTCATGGCGTCACCTTAGATGAGAAAATCCTAACTAGCCTTTTTGAGGAGAAGTTAGTGTATATTTCTTCTCCCATTCAAGAAAGTATCTTGATCTCACACTGATGTCACGCTGCCTGGGATTCTAAACAATATGAGGCTTTGAGAGTGGATCTCCTGCTTCCCACCAGGTTTCAGAAGAAGGAGACAGAATAGGCCACCTTCAGCTAAATCCCACTCCTGTGGACATTTTGGGACCAACACATTGCTATGTAAAACTAGGCCACATGGTTGCAGCTTGCGAAAGGGAGATTGTTAGCTGCTTTGAGACTCCTTAAGGGGAGTAAACAAAGGTCTGTATAGTTAAAGCTATGGTTTTCCCAGTAATGATGTATGGAAGTGAGAGCTGGACCATAAAGAAGGCTGATCGCCGAAGAATTGATGCTTTTGAATTATGGTGCTGGAGGAGACTCTTGAGAGTCCCATGGACTGCAAGAAGATCAAACCTATCTATTCTTAAGGAAATCAGCCCTGAGTGCTCACTGGAAGGACAGATACTGAAGCTGAGGCTCTAATACTTTGGCCACCTCATGAGAAGAGAAGACTGCTTGGGAAAGACCCTGATGTTGGGAAAGATGGAGGGCACAAGGAGAAGGGGACGACGGAGGACGAGATGGTTGGATAGTGTTCTTGAAGCTACCAGCATGAGTTTGACCAAACTGCGGGAGGCAGTGGAAGACAGGAGTGCCTGGCGTGCTCTGGTCCATGGGGTCACGAAGAGTCGGACACGACTAAACGACTAAAGAACAACAACAATAAGGGGAGTAAAAGGCGGGATATCAAGTCCAAACTCTTCTTCTTCTTCTCCTCTTCTTCCCTGTCAGCAAGACACTGCCAAATGCTGCTGCCTCCCTTGTCCTCCATATCCATCCTGCTTGCATATTGATTCATCCCATCTTCCTCAGAGGAGTACAAGATGGCATACATGGGAGATATCCCCTTTTCCCCATATGATGTAGGTTTGCCTGGCAGATAGTCACTTCCCCCAAGGCTAGCTAGCGAACTTTGGCTGAATGGCGATTTGAACAGATGTCTCCCAGATGGTCTCCTTTTCAATACTGGTTTTCAGACATGTTTAAAAGCTGCATTAGATCAGGCTCCCACATATGGATGCTGTTGCCCATGCCCTGATAACCTCCGGGCTGGATTACCGCAATGCGCTCTATGTGGGGCTGCCCTTGACGTCAGTCTGGAAGCTGCGGCTGTTCCAAAAGGCAGCAGCTTGACTGCTCATAGGGATGTCAACAACATGTTTCCTTGCTGTTGAAAGAATCGCACTCGCTGCCAACTAGCTGCCTGGCAAAGTTAAAGGTGCTGGTTTTGGTGTATAAGGCCCTAGACAGCCTGGGACCAAGATACTTGAAATATTATCTCACCCCTTATAAACCCAGTCAAGCACTGTGCTCTGAAAGTGAGTGCCTCCTGCATATACCATCTTGCTAGGAAGTCCCATGGGACGTGGGTGGCACTGTGGTCAAACTACTGAGCCTCTTGGGCTTGCTGATCAGAAGGTTGACTATTCAAATCCCTGCAACGGGGTGAGTTCCCATTCCTCTGTCCCAACTCCTGCCAACCTAGCAGTTTGAAAGCATGCCAGTGCAAATAGATAAATAGATACTGCTGCGGCAGGAAGGTAAATGGTGTTTCCCTGAGCTCTGGTTTTCTTCACGGTGTCCCGTTGTGCCAGAAGCAGTTTAGTCATGCTGGCCACATGACCCAGAAAGCTGTCTGTGGACAAACGCTGGCTCCCTTGGCCTGAAAGTGAGATGAGCGCCGCACCCCATAGACGTCCCAACCCCTGGAAAGGTAGGTACAGTAAAGGACAACTGGATGCTTAAATCCAGTCAAAGGCAACTATGGGGTTGCAGCACTCATCTTGCTTTCCGACTGAGGGAGCTGGCGTTTGTCCACAGACAGCTTTCCGGGTCATGTGGCCAGCATGACTAAACCACTTCTGGCGCAGTGGAACACTGTGACAGAAACCAGAGCGCATGGAAACACTGTTTACCTTCCTGCTGCAGTGGTACCTATTTATCTACTTGCGCTGGTATCCTTTCGAACTGCTAGGTTGGCAGGAGCTGGGACAGAGCAACGGGAGCTCACCACGTTGTACAGATTCAAACCACCGACCTTCTGATTGGCAAGCCCAAGAGGCTCAGTGGTTTAGACCACAGCACCACCCGTGTCCCAGGTGGAAAGGTAGGAACCAGGGCCAGCAGTTATCTGCCCAACACTCTTTCTTCATGTGATTTTAAACCACATGGACTGAAGACTGATGACTGAAGCCTGGCTTATATGTTTTCCCCCAGTAAAAAAATAATATTCTTGTTCACTATCGTGTGATAGTTTTCCTCTTTGGGTTCAGGTTTGGTGGCAGTAGCAGTTAAAAGTGTTATTAAGTTCTCCATACGAATATTTTCTTTAGTCTTGTTCCACACAAGCATGGCCAGTGGCAGCATCTGACGAGGTCAGACATTGGCTCATGACTAGAAGCCTGTGAGGGTCCTGTTGAGCCAATAGTGCCTGAGAACCCTGATGATGTCACAAGCATTTCCTTCTCAGGTGTGTAACATAAAGTGAGAGATGTCAGTCATCATCTCTGGACCCTTTGCCCACATGTCCAAGAAGACACCATGCTTTACATTAGGAAAACTAAAGAAAGAAAAGCACTTCTCTCTTTTTGGCCAAAGGATTATGGAACCGAGCACAGAATAATTTCAATTTAAGGAACGCTGCACACTCTTTTGCTGTTGGTTTTCAAACCTTTATTTGTATCTCAGGAGAGCTTAGTGTAATCAGCTGGAACAAAGGGAGGTTGTGTTTTGGCTGGGAATTAAGCGTTCCAAAATGGGAAGAGATTCTAGCCTAGCCAGATGGAAGCTGTACAGGAAATTCACTTGGGATTTACACGATGTGTAAATGTGCTTTGGTCCATAACCGAAGCTGAAATGTGTGCAAATTGAAGACGTAAGTGAACATCAACGAGACATTCTATGGTTTGCAATGCCACTTCGTGTGATTCTTTTGGCTCGCTGGGGTGTGTATCTGGGCGTGTGAATGCAGCTGTGGTTTATCGGAGGAAAGTATGTCAGCCGCAAAAAGATGTAAACCTCACACACAAAATGAAGATGGAACCAAGGAGAGGCCATAAAACTGGTAGCAATGAACAATTTAGTAGCTGCAAGCTTGGAACAGTTTTTAGCTGATGGAGGATTGGGTTACATTTTCCTTTCTCTTTATTTGACACTCCAGCTGCTGAAATGAAACCATCTAACATGCATGCTTTAACTCCCAGGGCCCACCCCTTCCTGCTTCTTACTTATGCCATAAATATGTACATGTGTACGTTTTATGCAGCAGAAATAAAAGCAATGCGTCCCAACTGCGGCTTCTTCCAAGTCAGTTTTCTTTAAATCCTAGAATCTGATGATCTCACTTGGCTTGTGATAACCAAGCTCTTTGTGGCAAACTACACTTCTGTCAACTACTCATTTTCCCTTGGAAACAAGATCTCATTCTTGTATATTTAGCTCATTATGGTTCGATATAACATTCGTTGAAAGTTTGTATTAATTTTATATGGGAACCTAGACAGATGTGCAATACAAACTTTTTGCTGTCCAAGTATTGGACCAATCTTTTTTCTTTTAGTGGGGGATAAACTGACATGCAAATTAGAAATATATATGTCTTCTCCCAAGTGAGCTTTCTTACAACTTTATTAAAAGCAACAGTTAGTTCAGGATTTTAAACTGAGCACTAAATATGCTTCTGTTTAGAGGAGCAAAGGGATAGAGGGAGATCCCATTTGAAGAAAGCCTGAAATATTTAATAGCTTAATCAGGATAAATAAGCAATCCATCCATTTTATTCTTGTGAAAGGGTTGCACCGTTGTAAAAAGATGTGCATTTGAGTGAGTTAGAACATTTTGAGATTTGAAACGAATCTTCATTTGCGGGTGGCGCTGTGGCTTAAACCACAGAGCCTAGGACTTGCCAATCAGAAGGTCGGCGGTCGAATCCCCGCGACAGGGTGAGCTCCCATTGCTCGTTCCCTGCTCCTGCCAACCTAGCAGTTTGAAAGCACGTCAAAGTGCAAGTAGATAAATAGGTACCGCTCCGGCGGGAAGGTAAACGGCTTTTCTGTGCGCTGCTCTGGTTCGCCAGAAGCGGCTTAGTCATGCTGGCCACATGA